TGTTAATTAGAATCCTTTTTTAAATTGGAAATATTTATAAACCATCACCGAGAAAATAGTTCTTCTCAAAACCTGAATCGGGTAGAACAGAGGCATGTCAAATAACTGGATCTTAGGATCAGTTTGGTAAAGTCCAAATCTGCGCCCAAAAAATATTAAAGAATAAAAAATAAAATAAGGGTTAATGAGGGTGCCTGCCTATTCCCAACAAGATCAGTCGGTTTTGAAACACTAGTTCTTCTAAAATCTTATTCCAAAATGGGATTTTATTTAAATACGATAATCGATCAATTATTTGACATTTCACCCATTTTCAACTATTCCAATTATGATTATTGTATATTTTAAAGTGATTGTCTTAAATTAAATGGAGAAAAAGAGATGAAGTGTTAAATAGTTGGGCATTTTCATAAATTTCTTTAAAATTAAACTACTTATTTTCAGCTCCGAATAACTTGGGGATTGTACTTATCATACAAAAAAATCACAATTATTCCTAGATGTCAAATTTCAAATCAAGATACTATGTTTGTGTCACAAAGTTGAATATCTTGGGGATTGTTACTTATCATACAAGAAAGTCACAATTATTCTTAGATGTCAAATTTCGAATCAAGATGCTATGGTTGTCTCACAAAGTTGAAGAAAACGATTATTGGACCTTCAGCTTTGTCAATAACACATCCTTAACCGTTCGATTCCTCATATATAAATCGATACATTCTACCAAAGCATAATTGTGAAAACTAAATGGTTTGGATACTTTTCCATGGTCATATCCACACTTTTTGCTTTGAACGCCTAATCAAAATCTAATTTAGGAAAAAGTTTATATAAGGTGTTGACCTTATACTGTAGAGGTAAGAAACACCTCAAATAACCATTAAAAAAGGTTGTTCCGTCACTATAAAATTCTCCAATTGATCATCTTGACCTCGATATATATGGACATGAAAGAATAAATGAATTTCAAATCTTAAAAATAATACATCTTAAACATATTATCTAGACGGTTCATTTTCAAGATTTTTTAGTGCTTACATATGCGCTAAATTTGTACCATTTTGAGCTTTCAATGTCATTATGAGGGTAAAAATAAACTTTTAGGCTATGATAAGAGTTTTGGCACCAAAAATACATCTTTTAATGAGATTTTGCAAACCTCACCCATCTTTTAATGAGATTTTGCAAACCTCACCCATTTATTTATGCACATATAAAAGTAGGAGACTTTTTGTACGGCATATGTTGTCATACGATCCAGCCTGAATCAAACAATTTTCCTAATATTAATTGGGTTACTGTGATAAGCCCCATAGAACACTAAATCAAATAATCCACCCCTCGCCATTGAAAAAGTTCAGATTTAACAGAAAAACTCGAGTAGTAATAATATGCAGGGAAAAAGACTTGAATACAAAATAATAGAGAAATTGAGGTGAAACAAATAGAAAGTTAAATACTACCGATTCTGACGTATTAAATGAAAATACTGAAACAGAGGAATATTGTACAAAGCTTAGAGAGATATTTGCGTTTGGTTCGGTTTGGTTTTGGTTGAGAGAGAGGAATTATTGGGGAGGCCCCGTGGATGAGCATGCTACATTCAAAGAGAGCTTGCCGGTTTTGGAGATAGTAGATAGCTGTCCGGAGTTCAAAATTTTGAATAGTTGTTTAGTATTTTGAACATGGAACAACAAAGAACTAGAAAAGAACAAGCCACATCAAGATAGCTCCCAGGTTTTGGGGATAGGAGATAGATGTCCGGAGTTCTAGCAGGTGTTTAGTATTTTGAAAATAGGGCAACAAAAAACTAAAAAAGAATAGCCCCAGTGTTTGACGACTTAAGAAAAAAAAAATTCGACAAGAGGAAATGGTGCTGCTCGTAATTTTCTTAAAAAACAAAAAAAAAGATTAGGGAGTAAACAACGCTGTAAATTGAGACGTAGGGCGCCGACCATGGTGGTGTGGGTCAAACAAAAGCGCCGAGCCGTTCGGCGCCCGCAGCGCCCACAAAACACCACCCCCTCTCTCTGCTCCTCACGGATTACAAGACGCAATCACTTGCCCTCTCCCTTTATTCACACTCTTTCTCTCTCCCACTTTTCTCGTCGTCTCTCTCTCTCTCTCTCTACCCCTAAACATAAGCAAACATCTTTCTCTCACCCCAACGCTCTTTCTTTCTCACCCCAACGCTGTAACACAAAACAAGCATCTCTCTCACACTCCACCATGAAACAACCGTCTCCAAGTAAATTGAGCATTTCTCTCCAAACCACCCCCCATAACACATTTTCTCTCTCCTCAATATAACCCCAACAAACATTATCTCAAAACCTCTCCCCAAATATCTCCCTTGATCATAGGGGTCGCAACTCAATCTCCCTTCACCATAGGGATGACAACTGGGTCCATCGACCCAATTGCGCGATCTCATCTCAATCTAGACCTAAATAATTGGATCTGGGTTAGGTTCAGGCTTGGCTCAAAAGTAGTTTTTCAGTCTAGACCTAAAAAATTGGATCTGGGTTAGGTTCAGGTCAAGGTCAAAGGTAGTGTGTCAGTCTAAACCTAATAATGGGATCTGGGTTAGGTTCGAGTTTAGATCAGAGGTGATGTCTTGATCAAGACCTAATAATTGAATATGAGAGTAGGTTTAGTTCTAGATTAAAGTTGTGAATATTTATATATTATAAAATATTTATAATAAAAATGATTTTCCTTTTATCTAGACCCAGAGATAGGTCACTTATGGCTCCAATAACCTGACTTTATACGAGTCTGAAGTGACCTGAGCCCAACCTCACCTAATAGAAAACCCTAATTGGCGAACTTTATCTTTTTTTCTTTGTTCTTTTTTTTTCTTCTTTTCTTTTTGCTCCTTCTCTCATGAATTCCATGAAAACAAAATCAAACATTCATGATTAATATATCAACACACATTTCTCTTTCTCCCCCACGTATTATAAAAGAAAGAAACATCTGTCTGTCTACATTCTCCGATTACAAGTATCTAAAAAAAAAATTAAGTTATCAAATGTACCAAAAACATGAACTATTTAACATTTTATATAATTCTATTTTATGTGATTCTTTATTTAATTCAAATATCTCATCAATTGACTAACTGAAAAATAGCAGGGAGGAAATTATAAATTTATAACAAATCACCTGGAGACCTTTTCCTCTCCTAACCAATACATTTTTAGAATGACATTTTTGTCGCAGTTCGTTTTCAAAATCTTTGAAAAATATTTTTAGTTAACTAACTTTGCCCTTATGTGGAAAATCAATTAGAAGGCCACGCTGGCTTTCTTAATAGAGCTAAAATTTGAAAATCCGGAAAATTAGTTTTCTACTTTTCTCATTTGTTAAGAAAAGTATGAATAAATGAATAAAAGACAAAGTCTTCCCATCTAAAATTTTGAAATCCCATTGAGTATCTTATTTTTTAGGGTGTCTTTTGTATAAGGCTGAGGCCCTAAACAGTCAAAGTGGGACGTATCTTCAAATGGTGTCGAAATATGTTGTTTTAATATCAGAAATTTTTATAATGGCCTGAAATTTTATTTGCATCTCTAATTATAAAATTAAAGTTAAAAATAATGTAGATCGAGCATATCTATAAATATTTGAAAATTGACGGTCTAGATAATACATTACAAGATGCACTATTTTCAAGATTTGAAATCTATTTCTTCTCTTGTCCATGTGTGTTGAGGTTGAGATAATCGAATCGAGGGTTTTTTAGTATTGAAATATCCTTATCTAATGAATTTTTGAGGTGTGACTAAACTTGATTGTTTAGGGCCTTACCCTTACATAAAATTTTTCTTATTTCTTAACCATTTTATCAAGAGAAATTTAAAAGTAAAATGACAAAATAGTCCCACATTCAAAATTAAATTTTCTCCCAAAATAGTTAAAGGCAATTATTTTGTTGTCTTGTTTGTAGCCTAGTTAGAGAAACTCCAATGACTTTAAAAACTGAAAAGTGGACAAAAATCTGCCCATTTTTTGGTTTTGCGTGGAAACCAAAAGGGATATAGTGGAACAACGATTGAAAACAAATTTTTGGTTTTGCGTGGAAACCCAAAAGGGATTGGAACAACGATTGAAAAAATCGTAATGGAGCCCGATTCATAAGGACCCGATTTCGGTTCAACGACCCTAATCCAATGGCCTAATCAGTCTCTATTTAACAAAGAAATTAGTTATAAAAATCTGGAAATTGGAGCAAACTAAAGACTGAATCAGGGAAATTCTGTGAAACTAGAGTAGTCCCCATTTGACTGGTTGGGGTGATTCCAAATTGGTTCCGTGATAATTGCCTAACTTGCCTAACTTATGATGTCCTATCTGACTGTGTTAACCATAAGTCAAACTAGAAATCTTTTAATCATTACTTTGTAAAATCCACCAATTAATTTTTTATCTAAAACCATCAAAGTTTGAGTAGTTCTTTTTTTAAAATTGGAATGATTAGATGGATCGTTCATCCCATAGATCTGTGTCAAAATGATGGATTGGTCGGGATCGAATCAATGATTTAGAAAGCATTAAAAAATAAAATAAATAAAATTTAAATTTAAAAATAAGTTTTATGAGGTGGGTATTTAGGACATAGAGAACATTAACTTTTAAGGAGAGAAAGAGAGAGGGAGGGGGGAAAACTTTAGGAAGGGGAGCAGGCCAGGACCTACACTTTTCTTTAATCCTGATCAATTATCGGTCCAAATGGTCGTTTCCAGATCCAGCTCACAAGGTTTTAAAACATCAATTTTAGCAATTTAACATGGAATGGAAATCATGGTGAATCAAGAAAGTCATTACAATAGTTAACTGTAGATTTAAAAAAAAGGATGGGTTTTAGTGTCATGGTAGAAAAGACCTAAGTTCTTTTGTCATAAACAAAAAGGTTGGGACTGGCATGTAATTTTGGCTTTGTATATATATATATATATATATACATGTCCTCATGCCTCGTGTCTTACGGTTTTGGGAAGAATCCAAAAGAGAAGACTCCTCAGCCTTCAACAACAAAGAGCGATTGCCCTGTGTCCCTTCTTTGCCTTTAATCGCCATTAATGGCGGAAAAGGATAACACGAAGCCAAGCCAAAGCCCTATATAGAGATAGGGAGAGAGAGCCACAAGGTAGAGAGGCTGATAGAGAGAGAAAGAGCCATGAAATAGAGTCTGCAATGAGATAGAGAGAGAAAGAGTCATGAGAGAGAGAGAGAGTAGTGAGGTAGAGATAGAGAGAGAAAGAGCAAGGAGATGAGTGAATGTGATGTCAGAGAAGGGAGGGAGGACGCCAACAAACAACATACACAGCTCTGACCGCTTCCCAACATTTGTGCTTCTGCATTTATAACTCCCTTTTTGGATTTCCCTGGATTGCACCCACCCTCTTCATGAAACTCTCTCCCTCTCTCTACCTCTTGTCCCTGTCTTTCTCTCTCTCGAAATTTCTCTGCAGCCCATCATCTCCATCTTGATGGCTTAGAAGCTCATATCTCTCTCTGTGTAGACTTCTGACCAACCTATTCATTTCTCTCTCTAGGTTTCCACAGAAACAATCTTTCTCTCTCTAGATTTTCTTACTGGCCCATCCCTCTCTTCCTGGTAATTCTCAGCAGCCCATCTCTCTCTCTCTACAATTCCCAGCAGGATATCTCTCTCTCTACACTTTCTAACAGTCTAGTTCTCTCTCTCTCCACATTTTTTAGCAACCGATTTCTCTCTCTACATTTACTAGCACCCCATCTCTCCCTCCCCACTCTCTCTACACTTCCTCTAAACCCTCTGCAAATCTCTCTCCCTCTATTGCCTACCACTACCACTCCATATCCCACATCTCTCTGTCTCTCTCTCTCTCCATTTCCAAGCGCCCCATCTTCTCATTCATCTCTCTCTCCATTTCTTAGCAACCCAACTTTCTCTCTCCTCTCTCTCTTATGGCGGACTTCAACGCCCACCAGCAAAGCTGCACTCGGCCATGGCCCGAAAATAGCAACGCCAACTCCACCTTCTACGCAAGAATTCTGGCAGCAAATCCCGACATTTCGGGCTCCCGAAACTCCCCAACTATTTCGCAGAACGCGGAAATTTCAGCGAACATGATGCCTTCTGTGACGGTGGTTTTGGAAGGTCGAGCCATATGCCAAAGGATAAGCCTTCAAAAGCACGGCAGCTATCAGAGCTTGGCCAAAGCTTTGCGTCAGATGTTTCTTGATATTTCTGGCGATTATTCGCTGGAAAAGTCACCTGAAAATGACTGCGATCTGTCGAACGCCATTCCCGGCTATTTTATTGCTTATGAGGATATGGAAGATGATCTTCTATTGGCTGGTGATCTCAACTGGAAGTAAGATCTCTCCCTCTTCAAATGCATATGGCATATATTTTCCTTGCCGTTAAAAAAAAAACATTATTAGCCTAAACTAATAACTCTCTCTAAAAATACGAGCTACTGCATAATGTCTTTTTTAAAAAAAAACATCATTATCCTAAACTAATATCTTTCTCTAAAACATGAGAATTGCAAAATGTCTATTGGAAAGAATGTACAGTATTTTTACCACGTTATTATTCTAGACTGACAATCTCTCTAAAAATGGGAGCCACCACGAATTATCAGTGTTTTTGCCTATAGGCGGTACCCCAATATAGCATGTCCATGGCGTACTCCTATTATCCATATAGCATGTCCATGGCAGTCAAAAAACATAGAAAACCTAGACCGGTAAAACACTGTTAAAAATCACCTAAACCTTAAGACGATTTTAAGAATTAACCCTAAAAATAGTTCAGTCATAAATAAAATATAACCATATTGCCCTTAGGGTATTATAGTATTTCTTTTAAAATAAAATTTAAAATCTTTTTACAGGGGCAGCAAAATGTGCGTGTCCCAATTTTTAGTTTAAGCCCCTATATAGAAAAAATAAAATTAAAATACATTATTGGTAGGATTTTAGCCTAAAATGTGAAATTTTAGGAATTATTTTAAAATTTTATACATAAAATAAGATTTTTATTTAAACTCTTAAAATAAAAAGTATAAAGAGATTAATTTACCCTAAGCAAAAGTTTTAGTGAGACGTGTTAAATTAAGATTGCGTTTTTTTAAGATCGTTTATTATTTTATTATGAAATTTACAGGGATTTTGTTCGTGTGGCGAAGAGAATAAGGATACTTCCCGTTAAGGCGAAGCAGAAGGCGTACGGGTCTCTCTAAGGCTTAAACTCCATTCAAAATAGGAAAATCACTTTTTCCAATCGGATTCCGTTATTTTCTTATGTATTTTTGGTAGCTTTTGCAATTTATAAGAGAAATTTTAGTCTTTATTTTCCCCATGTCATCCCTCCATTTTTAGTTTGCATAAATTTGTTCTTGTGGTGTCGGTTATGGTCTGAAGTGGCCTTTCGGAAAAAAAATGAAAAAGAGAGAAGAATGAGCAAAATAAGAGACAAGAAAAATAGTTTAAATGTAAAAGTAAGCGGGCAAACTTTCCATGCTTATATACTTTTCCTATCCAACAATCCATTCATTCATAATAGAATAGACGGCTGAAATGGCCCTAATCACATCCATTCAAAATGAACGATTGAGATGGTCCTAATCACAATGTCAGCCTCTCTACTATTTTATTTTTAATTTTTTTAAAAAAATATTTTTCCATCAAATTTTGAGCGCCCACTCCTCCCTTAAACTCGTGATTTTAAAAATATATAAAAAATATTTTAATTAAAATAAATTGATCAAAATACCTCTAAAAGTTTCGAGGGGTATTTTGGTTATTATATTCTATAAAAAAAATTATATTTAATATTTATTTTAGGTGTTCTCTATTGAGAACACGTACCAACTTTAATACTCATGTAATTTGTAGAAAAAAATTGAACTTGATCTAAATTTGACAGCTGAATGGGCGAAGTATATATCTTCAATGCTATATAAAAACCTTTCTCAAAGTAAGGGAAAGAGAAAAGAGAGAGAGAGGGAATGAAAGAGAAGCATAAGCAAAATAAAAGAAAAAAAAAATAGATAGTAAAAGTAAAAAGTGAAAAAATAGGGATGAAAGAGAGGAATATATAAGCAAAATGTGATAGAGAAGAAAGAAAGTGAGAATATATAAGTAAAAAATAGAACAATTTGGGGGGAAGGAGCAAATAAGCTAAATGAGAGAGGAGAAACAAAGTGAGAATGCAAAATTTAAATGACAAAAACCTAGAGTATTTAAATTCTATCTTGGATAGAGAAGTGAACCTTGGTGCTACCGCTTCGGTCGAAGCCTCCGGATTTTAAGCATAAACTGAAGAGAAGCGATGCTTGGTACTGCCGTTTCGGTCAATAAAGAAATAGCTCTATAAATGTATTTTCAAAATTTTTTTGATTTGAAATTTCTTTTATTATTTGTATGTATTGTATATATAAATATCTAATTTATTTATACTAAATTAAAAAAAAATTCAAAAATCTTCCACCGAATCGACTGAAGCACCTAATTGCTTCATGTTTCTCACCGAACCCAAAAAAAAAACTCTCAAACGAATCTACCAAAACATTGGGTAAAAGAGAGGGGGAATAAATTAAGTAAAACAAGAGAGAATAGGAAACTAGAACAACAGGGTAAAAAGGTGAGAATGTGAAAATAAAATCTAAAGGGACAAAGTAGAAAGAACTGAAAGAGATTTTCTGTTCTTGCATGGGCGTACTGCCCATTTGCTCTCTCGGGCAAAACTCAAGTTTTTGGATTAAAAAATTTGGAGCTGTAATCTATAGAACCCAATGACCAAAAGAAAACTAAAGGGTAAAACTTATTATACTTCCCCACGGATATATCTTATTCTTACATCCCCCATCTCCAAGGTTGAGATAGCCCCAATCACACTTTCACACATATACATTATTTTATTTTCAATTTTTTTTTTTACAAAACATTTTGACAACCAATTGTCCATTCCTCTTTTAGACTTGAAAAAAATATAAAAAATATTCGTGACAAAATTAAGAGTAATGATCATACGAAACCTTCCCATACCCATGTGTGTAAGACCTCAAAGGATCGCCCATTAAATGCCCATAATAACTTTGTAAGTTTTAAAGATATTTTGATCATTTATTTTTTAAATATTTTATCGTGCACTCTACTGAAATGATGATGTGTATCAATTTTATATTCATATGATTTGTAAAAAAATTCAAAAAATTAAATACTATGAGATGTTAGAAATAAAATGAAACGGTTAGTGGATTGACATTATGGCTGAAGCCATCCTAACCATCCATTTAGATGAGACGGGTGGAAGATGGGGATGTGCAAAAAACATATTTGGGTAGATAAGTATAACAAATTTTAGTAAAATAAAATATACTCTCTATGTTTCTAAAAAAGGGCCCCAAGAGTGTACAAGAACCGCTCAATTTACAAAAGGAAAGATATCCATGTTTAATAATTCAATATCCAAACTAATGGTTCGAAAATAATCATCATGAATTCATGATCCTTAAATAAATTCTGATAAAAAATTCCTCCCAAATGGCTATTATGCCGCAGGAGTTTTTGTACATTATGCTCACCGAAGAGCATGTTATACACATGAGAGAGACCTCGTGATATCCATTCCTAGTCTTGACACCCCCCATTAACAAATTAACACATTCAAAATGTAACCTACTAATCTACTGCAAAAACCAGGTTTGGGGCTGTCTTTCCCGCTAAATTAACCAGAAAAAAAAAAAGAAAAGAACAAAAAAAAAAAGGTGAGAATGTAAAAGTGAAATACAGGAGGGTGAGCGACGTGGGAGTAGAGAGAGAGAGAGGAGGAAATAAATAAGTGAAATAATAGAGAGCAAAAAGACAAAAAAAGAATAGCGCTTCCAAATTTGTCATTGAATGGATGAAATAAAGAAGTGGGTTGCGGCAGAAACATGCAAAGACAGTTCATGTTTGTCTATTCGGTTTTGGGTTTCGAGATTTTAGAGTGAGAAATACGGCATGAAAAAGAAAGCTTCATGGTTGGTATGTAAAGGACGGTACACGCGTACATTTCTCTCCCTAAAAAATCACTTTCCCTTTTCCTCTACATTCCACAAAAATCACTTAATTTCTCTCTCTAGAACTCACTTCCCCTCTCTCTCTCTCTCTACAACTATTAGCATACAACGCGCCAGTTGGCATAGAACCTCTCTCTAAAACCCTTCTGTCTGTCTGTCTTTCCCCATCAATCCCAACAAGAGTTGAGGATACTTGTATTCTCTCTCATCTATACTTCCATTTGTAGGCAACTCTCCTGCATTTACAGTAAGAAAACGATACTTACGTGTCCATGCTCTCATCTTTTCCTTTGCATTTATGCATCACTCCTTACTAAGCTTTTTCTCTCTCTCTCTCTCTTCCCTTTTGAATATTGGGCTACTCTCGTCCTTGCACGAATACAAACCTTGTTAATTAGCATAGGATGCTTGAATGAACTTTAATGCTCTCTCTCTCTCTCTCTCTCTCTACTCCTACCATTTCTTCACAACGGTAGAATATTCATTATGCTTGTATCCATGTTCCATTACTTTTTGGACACACATTCCTCTCTCTCTACTTTTTGATGTTCACAGTCGTGCACAAGTAAAAACAAAGACATAAAAACAGGCGTTATTGTGTTTTTTCACCCTGTTTCGTGCTTTGGAATTCAGGCTAGAGATAGAAAGTGATAAAAGTAGAGAGAGAAAGCACTACCTCTTTCTGTACTCAGGCTGTAGAGGGAGAAACATGTTGATCAATTTTTGCGTAAATCCATTGTCATCAGGATTGAACACTGACCATAAGCATTAAAAACAAAATACTACATATTTTATAGAGCTGGTTATCGGTTGTGGGTTGGGGGCAAAGTGGATGCAACTCTTAATTTAAGCCAAAAAAAAGAGGTGGGCTTCTCCATTTTTGGATATATAAAATTAAATTTTGATAGAAGTTCATTTAAAAACTCAAGAACAAGGGAAATATGAGGGTTAGAAATTATGGTGGTATTGTGGGTTTTTTGTTATCATGATCCGTGTGGATGTACCACACCAAATGAGGTAGAATTTAATGCTCGCTTACAAGGACTTTAGCTCCCACTGGAACAGCAGATCAGAGGACTTTGTGTAGAGGAGGGGATTGTGTTCATGTTATCAATTGATGCAATAAGGAGTGTTAACCACATTGGGGCTTGAGATGGACTTCGTTCTAAGTCATGGACATATGCAAGAATATGGAGGTGTTTTTTAAGAGTGCGGTTTCTATGAGGTTGTATCTTTAAACAATCGAATTAAGGCGTATTTCTAAATTTTATTGTAACATCTAATTTTGGTGTAAAAAATTCTTAAGATTATCTGAAAATCTTTTTTCATATCTAACTATAAAATTTAAACTCTAAAAATAGTTAAAATCAAGTAGATCTATAAGCGTATGAAAATATTGAAAATGGATGGTCTATATAATGTGTTGCGAGATACATTATTGTTGGGACTCAAAAACAATCGCACACCACACCCCCAATACCAGCCAAACCTGGATTACCCTAAGAGCTCCCATCAAAGTTCAACTTAAACCCACCACTCTGTGGTGCCACCCAAATACTTCTTGGTCTCATTTTTACTCTTCTCATCAAAAACAAATTTGACAAATTCAACAGAACATCTGAGTATGAAATCCCTCAACCTTCTTTAGTAACCGAGAACCAAGACTAAATAGACAAGTTTTTTACTTAGCAATCTATCAAAAGATAAACTCTCCCCTTCAAAAGTCTGCCAATTTATTTCTTTCCGAAGTTCCCAAAGAGTAACCCCTCTAACTATTTGCCACATTGAGATACCCACATAAGGTAAATGATGAAAAACTAATTGTAACACTAAAACCATCACAGATTGGGGCAGAGAAATATGAACCCCAAGCTTGTTTTTCGAATTAGACCCAACCTGCAATAGGCAGCCCAACCTCCATCGACTAAGCTGAAGCCAATAATATCAACTCAAGTTTCGGGCTGGGTCCAGAAATCTAGGCACGGTCTCCAAGTGTAAGCTGACCTGCATGGCCCAGACTAATCATGTTCTGTATTTTATTTATGATCTTTTAAAACATAAGAAAATTATATGAAGTGTCAACCATGTACTATTGAAGTATGGTGCACCATAAAATCCTCTAGAATATAGTGTTGTGATGTTAGAAACCCCCCCCCCCCCCCCCCAAATCGATCACCCGACATCAAAGGGATATGGATACATAGAAAAAGCGAATCCCATGTCTTAAAAGTACTATATCTTGTAACAAGTTATTTAAACTATCTAATTTTAATAATTTTAAATGTTTATAGATCTATTCGATCTGAATTATTTTTCAAAATTTAAATTTTATTACTAAAAATAATAATAAATATTGAAGCCTTCATCAAATATACTACATAGAAGTTATGTCTCGTTAAAAAATTTAGAGGCATGCCTTGCTTCTACGATACAAGGTGGGCACTACCCCAGTAAAAACTATCGTATTTAGTGGCCAAATCCAACCAATAGGATTGGGCCGGCTCCCAATAACAGGGCCCAGGCCCCTTAAACCCAGGCCCCGCCACGCCCTACGAAACCTCTATCTTCCAAGCTAGGCTCAAACCAGCCCGAGCCCAGGCCCAACAGTTTGCCAGTGTGAGGAGCCTGGTCAACTGTATAACATTTTGACATTTCCCGAAAAGTAGCATTGAAAATGAAATATCGGGTGACAAGCCAATGAGGGGGGCGTAACCTACATTTCGGGTTACAAGTCGATGAGGAGGTTGTAACCTACACCTCGCGACAAGCCTATGAAAGGGGCTAACCTAGGCAATCAGCCACGTCATATAATGACTTCTGCTTATATTGAAATTGTGACACTGGCAGTTTAATATATTAATAGAATACTGGAAAAGTTTACATAAAGCCTGCTTCAAAACTTTTACTAGAAGGTGTTGTTTTGAGATTCAAATATCATCAAATTGATCATCTCGACATCAAGATGTATAGACATGAGAAAAAAATAGATTTTGAGTTTTGAAAATAGTGCATCTTGTAACGCATTTTTGAACCGTTAATTTCTAAGATTTTCAAGATTTCATAGATATGCTCGATCTACATTATTATTTGTGAAGCTTTAAATTTTATGACTAAAGATGAAAATATAATTTAAAGTTTTATCATAAAACTTTTCAGTATTGAAACCATAATTCTGGATACTATTTGAAGTTGGCATGTAATTTAATTGTTTAGAACCTCGGCTCTATACAAACCACACCCATAGAATATTAACTAAATAACAAGTTTTCATTTCACTCGTGCGAAAAGCTGACTAAAGCTCTAAGATCCATGTTTGTTGGCTTCACATTTCAAAGTAAAAAACCTAACCATGGAGATGGTAGGAGACAGTTATTCTGAATAATGGGAGCATGCTTTCTATCTTTCCAAAAGACCGGGGTGGTTTTGTTTGGAAGAAAACAAACAAGACCTTTTTTTTTTTCTTTCTTTTCTTTTTTTTCAAAAAGGGTGGGGCTTGCATTAGGTACCCACCTTATACTATACGTGTAAGGCGCACCTCTAAATTTTATCGAATTATAAAGTTCCAGTTTTGGAAACCCTGCGATGACTTGAGAATCCATGTTCAACTCTAATTATGAAAATTAAAATTTTAAAAATGGTACAGATCCAGAAGATCTATAAACACTTAAATATCATGAAAATATATGATCAAATAACATGTTACAATATGTACTATTTTTCATCGTCATCATCAAAGCCTTTTCCTAACTATTTGGGATCAAGTTATAACGTAGATTCAGAATTTATAAAAAGTTTTGATGAAGTAAGTGTTAGCTACCTACCTAATACGATCCACCTCCTTTATCGGGCTTAGGACAAGTTAAGAGAAAGTTTAAGGTCATCACCCTTCTTAAACCTACAAGATGTACTATTTTTAGGATTTGAAATTTATTTGTTTTTTTTATATCCACATATCTCAAGGTCGAGATGATCAACTGGAAGGATTTCAACATTAAGAACACCCGCTTTTACTAGATTTTAGAGGTGCATCTTTTGTCTATAGTATAAGGTTGCAACTTTATATAAGCATTTTTCTTTTTAAAAACTAGGGACTTTTTTTTGTCCAAAAAAAAACAAAAACAAAGCTCTAAAATTAGTGGATTTCAGAGATTTTTCAGGATTTTTCATGATATAATCCAGACAATAATGTCATTAGTCTATAATCTTGTCCAGCTACCTTATAATTACTCCAATTTTGGCACTCTAAAAGATTTCTTACAGGAAAAGGAAAAGGTTTATATAAGGCATTGATCTTCACAGTGTCGAGTAAAAGTGAATCTCAAAAATTCACAAGAGAAGGTTATTTCGATGCTAGAATCTTTTATTCGTCATTTTAACCTCGAGAATATGAAAAAATAAATAAATAAAATCTAATAAAATGTACCTTGTAATATTTTTTGAAGATTTTTAAATGTTTATAGATCTATTCAGCCTGCACCATTTTTTTAAACTTATCAGGCCGATCTATAGGTTCCTGCCACTGAAATTGTAACTTCTGGAAGAATGTTGAGGTGAACCTTACTTTGATAATTTAAAGTAGATGCCTTAATTAAGCCATCTGTTATCCCCAAATTTCATGTTGCGGGTCACATTAATCACCCTCATGTTGCGGGTCACATTAATCACCCTCTAAACACCTTTATCAATTACTCAGTGATGTTTTGAGTTTATTTACTAAAGCAAGTGTGAGGGACCACGTGTTGAGTACCATGGATTGGTTAAATGTCAGTGATAAAATTCAGAAATTTTCTTTTATAACTAAAATCCCCAATATCTGTATCTTTCATTTATTTCTTCCAAGGAAAGCTCGGTATTTTATCCCCAAAAATTTCTCTTCCTTTAATTATTTATGTGAGAGAAAATCTTTTTTTTTTTTTTTGATCAAGTATGTGAGAAAATCTTTATAGTTTTTAAGGTGACCTATGTGAGAAAATCTTTATAGTTTTTAAGGTGACCTATGTGAGAAAATCTTTATAGTTTTTAAGGTGACGTATGCCACACAATGCACACCATGAACACAAAGTCATTCTGTGGGGATTGTTTTTAGTCTTTCACATTCTGGAGAGAAATCTCAACGTTGAATGCAAGTGTGAAGAGCAGGATTTTTTTTTGGATAAATCAGTAGAAAAAGGTAAGTCAGCTTATCCGGTTTTCTTGACAAACCAATGTTCGCAAACTTAGGCCGATTCAACTCAGAAATGGGCTGGTCCGGTTTTGATAGTTCTGCCAGATATTTTGAACAAATAATTTAAAAAAATTATATGTATAATATTAAAAAAAAAAGATTTGTTTTTAATGTGTTTTTTTAATATCTTTTTTTATCGTTTTGACAAAGATTAGTATGAATACTTATTTTTACATTTTCCCATCTTTTAAAAAAATTCAACAGTACCCATACGCACAAATCGATTTTTTTTAATTCAATTTTTTCACTACTTCTCAACTTTATTTTGATGTATTTTGTTTAATTATGCTTTTATTTTTTAAAAAAAATAAATTTTTTAATACTTTTTGGACCAACTGGGAATGGCCCAATGAGGGCCAATTGGACCCGCCGGTTTACTGGTTACTCATACCCAATCCTTAAGCCAGTTTCAAAGCCTGGTTCGATTTTTCAAACACTAGGACAAACTACAAGGGTTTGAATGCTTGCGTGGCTTATTGATCCAGGCCCGCCAAAGGTAATAATTGGGTCATTTCAACCTAGTTGTTCACCGGATCGACCTAGCCTGAGACCAAATTCAAACCCAAAACTAGTATCCATTGATGGGTCAAGTCCAGCCCAAAACCATCTAGGTTGGGTCCAAGTCCAAGTTCAACTCTAGCTTGACGCCACATAGCCAAACCATTTTTATGTGTGTGCGCGCATGTGTATGGACTTGGGGCGTCCACCAACTTGGGTTCGGGGTCAGATCTGGGTCTGGATCTAATCTGGATCCAACCTGTTTAGAGCCCTACACCCAATAAACCCACCGAATTACCTTTTTCTCAAAGAATACAATAGTAGTAGCAATTCAAGTAACCCTACCACCAATCCCTACTGCTCAATTTTGTGATTAACGCAACATTGGTTCAACCAAACACAACGAGGGCACCCCAAATCTCATTGTTAAATATTGAGATTATCATGAACATTTCATTCTACAATACAAGGAATGGCATCGCATTTAGGTCTTTTGGGGACATATACCATATCCCATAAAAGAAACATGGTCAAATACTTAAATCCAAGAAACAAGAGACATAGTTTAAAGTCAACTGGTAATATCAGGCTCAAAATCCTGACGAAAAAGTATCAGTTTTACATCTCTTATGTGTGTGCCAAATCAGAGCAAAATTCCGCACAAGCTATACGGGCCAGTAAATCTTTCAATAGAAGGATGATACGAGTTTTTCTTTTTTCTGAAAGATTTGTGTAAAAATAAGAAATCTACAAGTTTACCCAATTTTTACCAACCCTTGTGAACCAAATTTGCGAACTGATGCGAGAATTACAAATTCTCTTGATTTTTACGTGACAAATAAAGCATGAAAGATACCAAGAATCATTACACTATGGCTTCATTATCAATATAGTCGTCTGATATTTTTAGCTTCAAGTATCCTCAAAAGGGTGTAAACCCCAGTCACTTGGTCTGAAATCCAATAGGGAGGCAAGGACCTGGTCAGCGCCCTTGTGCAAATCATTGTCCAAATTGGGGTCCGGAACCATCACTACCCACCTGCAAAACCCCACATTAACAAAAGCCAATAAAGAAGAAGAAAGACATAAGCCTCCTAGGAATCACAGAAAATTCATTAAGAAAAAAGTGAAAACCTGGTCAGTCCTGAAAATTGGATATTTGAAATATTGTATTTTTCAAGAATCAGGATTTCATTGTCATACCACTCCCCCAATCTACAATCCTTTACTTCTTTTTGAGTATGTGGGATTTGAAGATGGGACGCAGTTTTGCATAGTCAATTCCACCATAGCTATTACAAAGATGGGACAAGGTTTTGCGTAGTCAATTCCACCATAACTAATCCAGCCATCAAATCCTAACCTCTTGCCTACAAACTGGGGGTGTCTATCGCTAGGCTAAAGCAGTGTTACGTGGATACCAACCCACATGTTGGTATCTAGTATGTGTCTAAACGTCTACTACGTAAGACTAATACTAAAAATATTATTATTCTATATACAATGTAAGTTCCTATAATTGTTCAACTAAATCAAGGTGTCATTCACGTAGCGTTGGTAAACTATTTCAGACGTCCCTTGTTGAGACATTCCATGACCAAACCTTACCAAGGGGGTCTCCTAATTTATGTTTTCTATTACCTAATATATATAAAGAATGCCTATTTCGTACATCAACACCAAAGGTGCGCTTTGGTAGCGTGTTGTTTTCTGCTTTTCAAGTGGTCGAGGGATCAAGCCATGGGGGGTCAGTTTGTTGAAGGTTGCTAGCTTTTTAATGGTACAAAAAAAAAATACTCAATAAATAAATAAATAAAATGAAAGGGTGCAAGGGTAGGAATTGGAATCCCATTGCAAGGTGGGTTGATATCCACTCTACCACCTAGACCTTGAGGTGTAAGTGTTTAAAGTAAGCCAGACACTTATATCTAACGTGTCAATACATACTCGAAAACTGATGAGAACATCATCATACATATACGGCCAAGAGTCGATATCATGCTAGGCATGTGAAACCAAAGAAAATGCAAAGTGTCCATGTAAAACACTAGGCTAAAGCCTAATGGATAATTTCTACATTACCAATTACCAAAACTTGAAAGCATGTAATAAAATTACAAATACACAAAATCCAATTGTAGAATGGAAACAAACTAAAGAAAAACAAGCTTTTATGGCAACATTAATAGACAATATCTACTTACATTCCAGCAGCCTTGGCAGCTGCCACACCAGATGGTGCATCTTCGAATATCAAAATTCTATCATTATCCAAGGGAGCACCCTGAACAAACCAGACTTTTACAATCAATAATGAAAAAGGTCAAAAAATAACTATAACAGAATGGATCGAAGCTTATATTTTTCTGTTTTAAAGAAAAAAAAGAAGACATCACTAAAAACAGGAGGAAATCATGGGTAAATATTTGATAAGTATTTTATTTTCAAAAGATAAAATTTTCAATGAAAATAACAATAGTCATTTCATTATGTTGAAAAATATTGCATGTTATTCCTTTTGCAGGCACTATTTAATGACTAAAACAGAAAACCTGATATCATGGGTATTAAATTGTCGCATAAAAAGCAATTTTATTGAATAAAGTAACCCACCACCCCCCCCCCCCCCCCCACCACCTTCATATAACATAGTAGTTGGGGTCCATCAGCATTATAGCAGCCAGTTATTTTCATGTCACAAAAAATTTTGTAAACCCTATAATATATGGTAAGTTGCGACACTAGCAGTTATCGACCATGGCATGAGTCTGCCAAAGCCAGTCATAAGCTAGCCAAACCATAGAAAAACATGAAAATACTATTCATAAGAATGGATAGACGTTTACCAAATATCAAAGAATAATTTCAATACCTCAAATTTTTTAGCTGCTATAAGAAAGATATCTGGGGATGGCTTCCCTTGTTTAACTCCTGGCTCATCACCACAAACCACATGATGCATCATGGAGATTGTATCCTTATGATTTGTTGTCTTCAACTCAAAATGTCGTCTGTGAGAACTGTGAAATTCATTATTTGTAAGATTAGGGAAAACCAGAGGGATTTATTTTCTTTATTATATAAGAACCCTTCACAACAACAAGAATAGTATGTATCAAGCCCATACGCTAGGAGGAGTTTTTGCCTTTTTCCTTTTTTTTTTTAATCTGTAATATCCCTCGTGGGTTTCACATCTATATTAGCATGAAATGGGGTTTTATGACGTTGAAACATAAGACATTAAGCATCTGAGGCGTATTAATTTGCCAGACATTCACTTGATCAAATACAAAGTGTTTGACCATTCGTTGATTCACAATCACATGAATTATGGAAAGAATGCTGGTATGTTCTGATGAATTAGGGATATATTACTAATACCTGATATATGTAGAGTTTCTGTTTCTTAGAGTCAGACATGTTACATTCTACGAACTGTCTTTTCTTGCATAGAATGATAGCTAAGAAGTCTCACATATGACGAAGTATGAACCTGACTGAATACATAATTCAAGAATTACTAAATTTCCCTAGTCTTTTTGTGTATGTATGTAGATAAATGGATAGAGAAATATTACATTTCCATCATATAAAGGCATCCGTGGGCACAAACAACACACACACAAAGTCCACTCAAAAGTATGCTTTGAATGTGGAAAATTGAAATTAAATTAACAAAAAGAAGGATCAATCCAAATTCGTGTTTATATTATTGCGACAACAACACAGTATTTACACGTAAATATACACTACACAAAATTTAAAGAACAGTTACCTTGTTGCCACACACATCGGAACCCTGTGAGCATGAAGATGATTGATCAAACGGCTCACTCCTATCATCAAAATATAGGCATTAATACATTGAATCATGCATCACAAGTTCTTAATAATAGCGTCAATGAAGGCTCTAAGCAGATCTATCTCACTATGAAATGCTACCAAAAAACAATTGCCCCTCCCTCCCTCCCTCCCCCCCTCCCCCCCCCCCCACAAAACCAAAAACATTGGTATGTTTCCAAGTTGTGTAGGGTAGAGAAGTTTTCAAACAATTTAAGCTACAAAGAAAGTTAGGATTATTTTATTTATTTATAATTATTCTTTTTTCTGACAAGTTTCTAGTGGAATGTATTTGGATGAAGCGAAACTAATTTTTGTGCCGAGGAAGAACAGAACTCAGGGGTAATTGGTTGACCAGATTGAGCAGTATCGGAAAAGGGTCATCCCACATAAGAAACTCGCGAAAACTTATTACATTTACTAACACTTTATGAATTTATTAGAGGAATTAATAAGTTAGAAACAAAATAGTACGAATGGATCAGTTGCCCCTCCATTACATGCCTCAAGTTAATTGAAAAACAATTTACAGTTCTCAGCTAGGCCAGTTATAAAAATAGACTTTGGATGCTGGCTGAATCAACCTGCTACAAATGTTGTTTTAAAACACACACAATATGCAGACGCAAAATATCAAATAAATACCTTAGGAAGCATCAGGGAGCCGATACTCTAAAACAATGGGAAGTTCTAATGAATCCTCTAAAAGTAAGTTTGGCAAAATAGACTTCATATCTGTTATAAATGGCCATTCATTGTAAATAATACTTTCAAATAGATAGATATATGACAACTTAATTAAACCACTCATAGAATCAGTGGTGCAGGCATGAAAATGACTATGTTTAAAACTTAAAAAAAAGTACCTGGCATCAGTTTACAAGTCGGAAATAAGCTTTTAAGCATTTCCTCTCTTTCTCTAAGAAACTCCTCAGGGGAGAGAATGCCATCTAGTCCTGTTTCTCGAACAAAAACTTGAGCAGCCTCAGTTGCCTTCAGTCCAATCAATTTTGATTTCAATGACATGTCAAAATGTTTTCCGTATCTAGACAAGATCTTTTCTTGGACAATAGTATAAAATATTTCTGTATCTGCAACCAAACCAACATAAAGAGGTAGAGCTAATGGAACATAGCAAGAAGTAACCATGTCTAGAGCACAACAACATGGCTCATCTAAACAAGCAGAGTTGAGATGAATGGCACGAGTAAATCCAAAAAGGACTTTGCATTTTCCAAGTCTCAGAGAGCTTATTTCCAAGAGCATGCAACTTAAAGGAAACATGCACTTCTAGATGCCCACCAAATGAAATAAGTTCAACTCCTATAGAAGAAGGCAAGAAAGAGGAAATTCCAAACACCTAAGAGTTAGAAACACATTACTACAACCAATTTTACATCACTTAGATTACAATTATTTTCTAAAAGAAATAACACTCCAAGCAAGGAATGGACATTTTTCGACCTAACAAAACACATAGTAATTATATTTCAAGAAATGTAAACCGAAATTGTTCTCATAAAAAAAGTAAAATTCATTCCACGTGTAACTTGAAACAAGTTTTTGAGGCTTCCATAAAATTCAATTTTGGAACAGCAACACAAGTTCTTCATTTTCTATGACCCTACCATCCAACAACACTCACGATATTTCATTTGATTGTTCATTGTCAATACAGGATTTGAATTCATTCATTTGTAGCACCCTCATTTTTACAAATATTTTAGAGAAGTATCTTGAGTTTCTTCCATGTAGATTGGGTTATGGGTTACCAATATATTCCTTATTATAATAAATTTTAAAGCTGGACTTCTTGGTGGGAATCAGTTATCAATGCCGTATCTTGTCAAAGTACATGTAAGAAGGTGAGTGATAGAAAACCCAATGGAGAATCAATAGCAAAAAGGCTTGGGGTCCTCACATTAGGGAAATTTTCGGTTAAATTCAACAGATATAAAGATCAACCCTAGATGCATTCCTCAATGGGAAATAGATGCTCTCTAGGTCTCCATCAAGCAACCAACTATGGCATTCATTTTGCAAATTGGTAACCTTTAGGCATATAAAAAAATCTATCAGCACCTTTTGTATACTAGATATTTCTCATTTTATAAAGATATAATGGAAGGCATAGGCTAGCCAATCTTGGGGTGTCAAGAGTCTCAAGACCAATATCAGATATAAGAGATATTTCTGCCTAAAATTCATCCACAACCTCACTTGACATGATCTTTTCTTTTCCTTTTAGAAATATTACTAGATACTGCAAAATTCATGGTTGTCAACCATTTGACCATAATAAAAGCTCTCCAAATATAAATAGATGCCCTTTAGCCAAAATTCATTCACTATAGATCACTCCAGGCCAATGTTAAAAAACAAAGCTCTGACTTGGAACTTGGCAGAGTCCTTTGTCTGAATCGTCCATACAGACTCAACCAAGTCTGTACAAGTCATACCACTAAAATATAGAAATAGGCCGAATTTGGCCTGTTCCTGCTCGGACTGGGCACCTTACCGAGTTGGAGGAACTAGGCAAATCCGACAGGACTCGCCCCGGTTGTAGAAAAACTGCTCCAAGCTAACCATCTCGGTAACAGTTAGACCTTTGCCCACTTCGAAAAATAACAATCTATTAATTACTTACTTCCACATAATGATAATTCAGATATAAAACATATGAGCACCCCATAAGCAAATCATTGCCCTGCTTTTGGAAACAAAGATAGCAAACCAATAAAATATATTTCATTTATCAAAAAACCCAACAATATACATTTTGAATCAATTTGATCTCAGGATAGATTTTGCAAAACAGGCCCAATAAATTAATGTAAGTTTACAAATTTGACTGGAAGTAAAGGCCTAAAGTATTATGGATTCTAACTGGTAGATCACATGAATTATACACATTTCGAATCGATTTGATCTTAGGATAGATTTTGCATAACAGAACCAATAAATTAATGTGAGGTTACAAATTTGGCTGGCAGTAAAGAACTAAAGTATTACGGATTCTAACTGGTAGATCACATGAATTATACTATTCAAACATTAAAAAATACATTGCAGAACTACTTTGCTTGCTATTGTAGTAACTTTGATGAATTCTTTTTGGTTTGATGATTTCAGAACAATGGTTACGCGCAAAAAAAATGTGACCCAAAATGAGGAGGAGCTCTTATTAAATGTCCTCTGAAATCCCACCCCAACTCATAAACACTCCCCATATAGTGCAAACCTAACCATTAAAGCTAGGTTTAACAATCACTAAATCTTTTGAATTATGAGAGAGAAAGTCCTTCCGAATAAGGAGAGAGAAAACCCAATTGTTTCAAATAAGAATTGGACCAAGCAGTAAGAAACAGCAAAACAATGTTCATCAAGGAGAGAGAGAAAATCAGAAAAAGGGGAAGTTACCAAGTAATAGCCCATCCATGTCGAACATGACGTGGGTGATGGATTTTTCAGAGAGAGAAACAGTCCCCATCTTTGCTTCCTGCTTTACGCTGCACTTTGTGGAGCGATCAGTTGAAGGAGAAAAACTGAAAAAAAATGGAGGAATCTTCCTGGTGTGTTGGAGTGAGAAAAGAAGAGGGCGCTTTAGTTTGAGGCCTGCAGAAACACAGGAGAGGGAACCAATCCCCAATTGGCTTTTTGCACCAACATTGACCCCAAACATGTTTAAAGTTTCTCTCTCTAGAACTAGGTCTTCTCTCTCTAGAACTAGGTCACAGTAAAGTTGGTGAAAATCTAATTACTTTCGATCAAATTTTGGTAAAGTTTTATCTTACACCAAAATTAGCATACATTGCTAAATTAAATCTTGATAATATTAGTATATATAAGAATACGACTATATGGGAATATTCATGGTAACTTCACAAATGACAAGAATAAATTTTTATGGGTGTGGTTTGCATTAGGTCCAAAATAATCAAAGTAAGTTGCACCTTCGATTAGTACCGAAATATGCTGAGTCACTATCAAAAATCTTTATGAAAGCCTTAAAATTTCTTAAATTTTATCCTTAATTATAAAATTTAAGAATTATAAAATAGCGAATAGTGTAGATCAAATATGTATGTGAATAGTTGAAAATCTTAAAATTTGACAGTCTAGATATTATATTACAAAAGATAAATGATCCTATAGGACTCTCTCCTACTCATGTGTGTAGGATCCTTAAAAGATCGCCATTAAAGTTGGTATAAATTTTTATAAAAGTCGAATCCCACACTCATGGGATAACTTTTTTAGATATTTATGTCAACTGTAATAACAATTTTTTGGGGTGCTACACACGTGATTAAAGAAACGTCCTATAGGATCATTGCTCATTTCAAAATGCAATATTTCTAAAACTTAAAATCTACTTTTTCTCATATCCATACATCTAGAGGTCGAGATGATCGAATTGAGACTTTTCAGCATCAAAATAACTTCTTCAAATGATTTTTTACGATGTGTTTTAATTTTTTATTGTTCCAAATTTTTTATACCCATGAGGAAGCAAAATACATGCTTGCTTCCATGGATGAAAATCTATACCCATGAGGAAGCAGAATACATGCTTGCTTCTAAGGGTGAAAATCTATACCCATGAGGAAGCATAATATATGCTTGCTTCCATGGGTGAAAATCTAATGGGGCTTCGTTGGACCTCCAAAATTTGCATATCCACTTATTATAGGAAATAAAAATAAAAATAAAGAAATGCCCCAAGAGTGAATGCAGATAATCTATTTGGAAGATCAAATAGTTGTTTTAAGAAATCAAATTTCTATACTATTTGCTTATTTAAAAACAAAAAAATGTTAAAAACATTTCTAATAGGTGAAGTATTTAATATTTTGCCCAATTGCAACTATTTCTACTCAATGCCGTATGTTCTTTTGTGGATATTTTGAAATTAAATAAAAATATGTGGGAGTATCAAACTCTTCATCTATTAGGGCAATTTAATGGATTCCCCGACAAATTTGATATATATTTTTTTATACAATGTTCATCTCATGAATCAAATTCATTTTGCAAATTAAATATTGTCAAACTACAATCGGAGAGATATGCTACGTAAACATTTCATTTCAAAAAACCTCCCAAAGCACACAAAATAGAGGGTCCTATATTGATCTAGGGGCCGGTTCTTAAATTTCAATGGTGCCTTGGTGCAACATCTGTGTTCAAAACACCAATATCTCATCGGGTGACTCATTTTCTGACGTGCTGGTGCTGATTTACTGAAATACAAATACCAATATCTCAAAAATACCAATATCGTAAAACTGAAATATCGACTTAAAAATATGAATTGCAAGTTGTTTTAGTGAGATATTGGTGTTTGAGAATATTCATACTATGATATTTGTTTAAAGAAATATGATATATGAAACACACGAGTACCTAATGGGATGTTTAGAGTGGACATCCGTTTTTGTTTAGATTATGAGTGTCTTACATAGATTATTTTTTAAAAATTTTGTTTGTTTTGACTAGTGTTCGTAAAATCAAATAAGAACGGCTAACCGGACTTGAGGATTACAGCGGTTAGAATCGGAACCAAACTTACCGCGCGGCTAATCGAACTAACCGGTTAACATAGATATAATGTATATTATGTTATTATATGCATTTATCTTAATAGTTTTTTTTTTAGATAGTCAAGGTGGATTAATTACATCTTTTCTCGAGCCTGCCATCAAATCCAAATTCCAAAGTTTAAAATTCGAGAGGGTTTCATATCTTTTTGCTTTGAAAAATAGAATGACAAGTTAAGAAAGTAATAGGTAAATGAATATTTATTTTACAATAATTCAAACTAAAGTAGCATCCTTTTAGGCCATAATCAGGATAGGATGCTGCTATTGTTCTACATTTCCATATAACAACAGTTGAACAAATAATTTTATCAAAAAAATATTTTTATTAAGCAAAATAGAAAACCACTTCCCATATTCATTAAAAAATATTATTAATAATTTTATCAAAAAATAATTTTATTAAGCAAGATAGAAAAGCACTTCCCATATTCATCAAAAAACATAATTTTATTAGAAAAACATAATTTTATCAAAATTTTAATTTTATTATGCAAAATAGAAAAACACTTCCCATGTTCATCAAAAAATATAATTTTATTAAAAAACATATTATTTATCAAAAAAATAATTTATCAAGCAAAATAGAACATCGCTTCCCATATTCATCAAAAAATATAATTTTATTAAGCAAAATAATTTTTTTTTGGAAAAATTGATTTCTCAAAACCCCCTAAAATCAACCAACATTTCAAGCAAGAAACAACCATCAATGTTCGAATAATCGAACAAATCAACACACATGAATTATAAAAGCTTTAATCATCTTTCAAATGCACTAAAATCTCGTAAAAAAATATTTGGTATTTTGGATTTAATTGATAAAATGATGGAAATTTTAGATCTATGCAATTTTCATGATATCGTGCAACAAAAAAATTCATATAAAAAAATTTACTCAATCATAAATAAAAATACCGATTTTATTCGAGATACGAAGCCTTGATGATCAAAATACACAATTAAATTTGATAAAAAAATGACAAATACATAATAAAAAATATGTTGTTTTGGATCAAACACAAGTTCTTTGTGCAACAGCTTGTTAGGCCAAAATCAACCCACTATCAGTGTTTTGAAAAATTGAAACATGAATCTGATAAATACTTCGAATATATATCAAAACCTTCAAATTTCTTCAATAGGTATTGAAGATATTATTGAAAGAATGGCGGAAATTTTCATAAACCTAAGGAAACCGCCATTTCAATCCAATAAATTCATTTTTTTTCAATGTTTAAATCCAAATTCCTTGTTTTATATTCATTATATAGTGATTTTCAGCATTAAAACATGAAAAAAAGCAAAAAATTGCTGGAAAACGAATCAAAAGTATTAATACGAAACAAAAGTATTAATACTTCACCGTTATTTCATTAAAAACCTTGTTAAATCGGCTAATCGGACCAGTTAGCAAAATATAGGCCGGTTTGACCTTAACAGATCGGTTTTTGGCCAAAATTTTTTTGAGGGCATCTCATAAGCTACTAAACACACAAAATCGGCCATAATCGAAGTTGGAACCCTAAAGTTTGCGATCTAACTGGTTGGTTCCGATTCTAATCAGCCGATTTTTCTAACACTGGTTTTGACTGGAGTACAATTTGTAAGGTGCCCCTCCTACAATTTCTAGCCCATTATTGACCTATTATGATGATATCCTCGATCTATTTTGAAATTTGGAATAAAAAAGCAGTAATTGATGTGCATGGGCTCTCTTTCCATTGTTCTTGAACACATGAGTACAGTCATTCGCTATTTACAGTTGGACCCCTCATTCAAATTGGCTAATGTGAGACTGAAAAGAATATGCAATAAAATATATGTAAAGGTGTAGCATTAGATAGTAAAAGTAGCACTAAGAGATAACAAAGATGTACTCTCTCTCTGTCTCTCTATCTATCTCTGACGTATGAAATTGTATCTATCTCTAAATCCCTCAATGTTTTGGGGATAGAATGTGCCTCTCCCTTATGAAAGCATCGCTGTTATTTTGTTATTAAAATATTTTATAATATTATTTCACATTTTAAGCATTACTTCTAAATACATTTAAGCATTATTTCTAAATACATTTATTATAAATTTTAAGCATTATTTCTAAATACATTTTAAGCATTATTTCTAAATACATTTATTTAAACATTTTATAATATATGAAAGTATATATATCTAAATTTTTTTTTTAACCTATATCACTTTATTTCTCTTTATCTTTATCACTGATCTCCAAATAATTATAAATCTGTAAAATAATAAACAATCATTTTTTTTCCAATTTTTTAACTTACCATATTTCTTCTATTCTTAAAAAACTTATTTATTATTAGAAAACAAAAAATTCCTTAAAAAAGGCTTCACAGTAATTTGGGCACAATGCCAAGAGTTAAAAGGATACAAACGTCATATAAGAAAATAGACAAGGATATTCTCGTCATCCACAGAAAACAAAAATTCAAGGTGGGGCAATTTCGTCAGTCCCACAAACCGTCACAATTGAAAACACAAAAAGCGCGAAAGGAAAAAACACAACGCGCGCTTTCATTCGATCCAAGCCAAGCGCTCTCATCCAATCAAACTTCACCATTTCTAATCCAACGATCCAAAATCGAGAACTGCCTCTCCCTCAGATCGACCCCAAATCTTACGCGTCAAATTCACCCGGAAAGGCACACCAAATAGCTATATATACCCCTCCCATCACTGCCGTTAACATCACAAAGCTTTTGAGTGGGAACCAGAATTGTAGAGAGAGAGAGAGAGAAAATGTCAGGAAGGGGAAAGGGAGGAAAGGGATTGGGAAAGGGAGGAGCGAAGAGGCACAGGAAGGTGCTTCGTGATAACATTCAAGGGATTACCAAGCCTGCAATTCGCCGTTTGGCTCGAAGGGGAGGGGTGAAGCGTATCAGTGGTCTCATTTATGAAGAAACCAGAGGTGTCCTCAAGATCTTCCTTGAAAATGTAATCAGAGATGCTGTTACCTACACTGAGCATGCTCGCAGGAAGACTGTGACCGCCATGGATGTGGTCTATGCCCTGAAGCGTCAGGGCCGAACCCTCTATGGCTTCGGTGGCTAGGGTTTGGTTTCTGGCCTCTTGGGCCTTGTGCTGTAAATTCAAGTCATCCATGGCCCTGTATTTCTCCCCTTTATCTTTTTTTTTTTTTGGTGATGTGCGGTGGTTTCAGATGAAATTGTTTGATTTCATCCTCTTGGTAACAGTGTAAACTGTAATGAACTTTTAAGGAAAGGATATTGGATTAGTGGGGTTTTTACTGTTTCATTTCTCTTTAGTTTCTGATTTTTTTTAATTATTAGTAAGTAATCTGGTAATTCCATCCAAGCTTTTAATACTGGAAGAAAAAAGTCCATTGTTTGTTGTGCTGTAATATACGGATTATTAATGTCCATGCTCCAGTTCCCTTCTGATAGTTATAGAGCTAATGGTTGGATGAGCAGGAAAGAAGGTGAAGACGATGGCTGGCAACAAAATTTCAATACTTCTGTGTTTGTTTGGGTAAGCCATAAGATTACTTGAAACCCAACTCTGAGGGAAACAAAAATAAAAACTTATTTCATGCATTGGATCCACTTTGATCTAGCCACATAATACGTCACGTTGAATAACTATGATCTAATTAACTACATAAGCCAAAAGAACTTCGAACTTTTCCTTCTCATATTTTCCAGTTACTCCCATGAAAAAATTGATTTGATTAGTAGGCATAGGTGGCCAGGGTGTGGATGCCACAATATGAGTCCATTCTCACCAGATCCAAATGTAATGTTTGTGGCACCCAGACTCCATTCTCATTAGATCCAACTTTTCACAGTCGAAAACTGCCTCTCCCTCAGATCGACCCCAAATCTTCCGGGTCAATGGTCCGCCCTGCCCCCATTTTGGGGACCTTTAGGGGCATATTTCAGCCCAAATTTGGCTTCGGCCTCTCCCTATACATGAAAGATATGAACTATAGAACCTGATGATAATCAATAACTTATTTCGATAGTTTCTTTATATAAACCCAAGATCTTTCCAGTTCTAAAAGCATTCTAATCCTAGTCACTTTTCTTAGATTTTTCACCTTCATGAAAAAAATATAATACTAAAAGGAGTAACTCTATCGAATAAAAGAAAATCACCACAGTCATTATATGATATAATTGTCACACCATATACAGTTTTACCCAAAGAATTAGGGAAAAAACAAGAAATAATACCTCACATTGTGGAATAAAACAATTATACTAATTTGTATATGCAGTCTCTAAGAAAATAGGCAGAATGAATAGAAAGATTTGTTTCAAAGGAAGTAACTCCTTTCCTTCCAAAGGCAGTCCTGTTTAAACTACCTTCAGAATTAAATAAAAATAAATTTCATATAAGTTAAAATAATAAAACCTTAATAGATCAACTAATGGCCAAATTAACTCAATTAGACATAAAAGGAATTCCTTCTCCCAAAATCAGTATTCCTTTACCAACTATTCTTAGTCCATTACCAAAATCTTTTGATAAAAGAAAATCCAAAATATCAGAGCATGAGACAATGATGCTCCAAGAAGAAATAGAACCAATCATAAAAGATACTATATAAAACCAAGAAAATGCTTTTATGGATACTACACTTATTGACCTAAAAAGAATAGCTTATGGTAAAACTTGAAAATCAATTTCAGCCTTACCATATCATAAACGACCTACACCTGTTGATGTTCAACTTGAAGAAGATGCTATACAACAAGTTGTGTCATATTCAGGAAGATCGATAAAAAATATTAGATTTCATGAGGCACATGACAATGTTTGCTTCTGCAAACAAAATGGCAAGCAACCCAAACCAAGAAGTTGCCAAAGCAATAATCAATGGATTCACTGGCTGGCTAAGAGGATGGTGGGATTTCTATGTAGATGATGAAACCAAGATCAGAATTCTTACCAATACAAGACAATGGACCGCCAGGAATGAACAAAATCAAGAAATAATTTATATTGAAAGTGATGCAGTAAACACCTTAATATATACCATTACACTTCATTTTGTAGGCAGTACAGCATTAGTAGCAGCAAGATCAGAAGATCTGCTCTCTAATCTTCGTTGTCCTACATTATCTCATTACAAATGGTATAAGGATGTCTTTTTTTCAAGATTATTAATAAGAGAAAACTGTCAACTAGTCCACTGGAAAGAGAAATTTATTGCTGGTCTACCTTATTTATTTGCAAAAAAAGTCAAAGATAGACTTAGAAAGAAACATAATGGAATTATAGTATATTTAGTTTATACCCTTGGAGAACTCTCAGCAGAAATATGTGCTGAAGGATTAGCTTTACGCATTGATCTTAAACTCAAAAGACAGTTAGATAAACAACAAATTACCAAGAGAAAAGAACTTGGTGATTTATGTGAACAATTTGGATATTATCTAGATAGGAAAAATATGCTTGAAAAATTATATAAGAAAAAG